GCTGTTCCTGCAGCGCGGGGGCGCCTGGCGGCCTCCCCCGCCCGTTCATCAAGGAGTGAGGCGGTGTACGCACACAGCAGCGGCCCGAAGAACCTTTCTAACTTCCAGGCGCTCAAGCAAAACCTCCTCGCATCCTCGCAGCCACTCTTTAACACAGGGGGCCCCGGAGGGGCCCCCCTGGGGGCCCCCCTGGGGGCCCCCCATGGGGCCCCCCAGCCGTTGCAGATGCCAGGGATTCCGTTAGAAGGGGATCTGGCGGAGCGGCTGCGCTCGCTGGAGGTGAGTGGAAGTTCGGGGGGCCCCCCTAGCAGCAGAGGCATGGGGGGCCCCCGTCAGGGGGGCCCCCCGTCTTCTAGGGGTTCTTCTCGTGTTTGTTATTCTGGCAATCAGTACCCAAGACGAAGGTTAAGGGCCCCCTCTAGGGGCCGTATGGGGGCCCCAAGGGCTGTATCTCCTGCTGAGAGCCTTCTTCCTACGGAGCATCAGCTGCAGCAGTTGCAGCAGCTGCATCAGCTGCAGCAGCTGCAGCAGCTGCAGCAGCTGCAGCAGCAACTGCAGCAGCAACAGCAGCAGCAGCAGCAGCAGCAGCTGGATGCTGCATTGTCTCCTTCTTCTATTGCAGGCCCTTCTCCTGGCTGCAGCGACGCCCCCGCCTTCGCCAGCCCCAGGGACGCTGAGGATGCAGACATCAGCACCAGTGCAACTCTACCCACAGAAGCAGCAGCAGCAGCAGCAACTGCAGCAGCAGCAGCAGCAGCGGCAGCAGCAGCAACAGCAGCAGCAGCAACGGCAGCAGAGCATCAGCAGCTGCCACAGGTGCAGCAGCAGCAGGCATCCCAGCAGCAGCAGCAGCAACAGGCAACCCAGCAGCAGCAGCAGCAGCAGCAGCATCAGTTGCAGGTACAACAAGAGCAGCAGGAGCAGCAGCAGCTTTCAGCAGCAACATCATCATCATCAGGTTATATGAAGGGTTTAGGGTTTGAGGGCAAGGGTTTAGGGTTTGAGAGCCGATCTGTCCGTGTATGGAGATATGCAGCAACAATAAGTTATATATCTCGTGTGTTGCTGTCTGCTGCATTGGTGGTGATAGGTGGTGTTTCGGTGGGGTTGTTGTTTTATTCTTTACTAACGGATATAGCGCTGCAGGAGGAGCAGAGACAAGCAGCAGCAGCAGCAGCAGCAGCAGCATGCAGACAACGATACAGAGAGAACGGCTGTGAAACCCTAAACCCTCTCCCCCCCTTTCTTCTCTCTCCCTGCGAGGAGTGGAAAAGTTGTTTTCTATCGAGCCCAACCAAACACGGAGAAACCACAAAAGTAGCCGTTCAGGTCTTCGCTCAGGTCCTCAATGCTTTCTTTCATAGTCTACAGTGGTACGAGGGTTTAGGGTTTAGGGTTTAGGGTTTAGGGTTTAGGGTTTAGGGTTTGGGGATAGGGTTTAGGGTTTAGGGTTTAGGACGGTTCAGAGACTACAGTTTAGGATAGTTGAAGACGCCTTGAGAGGGTTTAGGGTTTAGGGTTTTGGGGTTTACTAGGGTTTACGGTTCAGGGCTTAGTAATAGGGTTTAGGGTTTAGGGTTTAGGGTTTAGGGTTTGTGTGTGGGCGTGCAGGAGGACTTTGGTTGCTGTGGTTGCGTTTCTTTGGCTCGCTATTTACGCCTTCAAGGAGATGCAGCATTCTCTCTTTTCTTCTGCTGCTGCTGGCAGGGGCGCTGCATGCACAGGCTGCAGCAGCAGCAGACAGCAGCAGCAGCAGCAGCAGCAGCAGCAGCAGCTGATGCTGATGCAACAGCTGCAACAGCAGCAGCAGATATATCCATTCAACCAGAGGGGTTGGGCCTATCCGCCCTACGAAGGAATGCTGGAGCAGCAGCAGCAGCAGCAGTTGCTGCTGCAGCAGCAGCAACTGCTGCAGCAGCTTGAATATGAACGCCAGGTTATGAGGCAGCAAATACTGAGGGGTACAGCCCCCTCGCTGCTGCTGCAGACACTGGAACGACAAGAAGCGATACAACGAGAGCTTACGTTTGTGGTTGATGCAGAGCAGCAGCAGCGGCAGCAGCTGCAGCAGCAGCAGCTGCTGCATCAACAGCAGCAGCAGCAGTTTGATTACTGCGACCAATGCATGCACAGCAGCAGCAGCAGCAGCAGCAGNCAGCAGCAGCAGCAGCAGCAGCAGAAGCAAGCCAGGGTTTTTGAGGGCTCTGATGAAGAGTTTTGTGTTCAAGTTTCTGGTGGTGCTGTGGGCTGCATATGCATGCATCTTGGGGTGTATGCACACCTGGAAAGATAGCTTCTTACAGCAGCTGCTGCAGCAGCTGCTGCAGCAGTGGCAGCGACTGCTAGCAGCGGGCGAATGAAACCCTCGCATCTGCAGCCAAACCCTAAACCCTAAACCCTAAACCCTGTGTAGACGAAGTATCCACAAGGCTTCAACGGATATCAGCAGGCCGCTATCTCTGGCCAAAAGGGTTTAGGGTTTAGGGTTTAGGGTTTGGGGTTTAGGGTTTAGGCTGGTGCAGAAGGTCGAGGCTTTTGGGGCGTGGAATGCTGCAAAGGGTTCAGCAGTTTTTCGAGGGTTTAGGGCTTAGGGTTTGGGTTTGTACCCTAGACTGTAAACCCTAAACCCTCAAACCTGCGGCTGCAAAAGCCTCAGCACGCGGGAATGTTGGGGTGTATATACACCTCATGTTTGTTCGCTGTTTGCTGCGGTGGAGATAAGCAGAAGGTGTTGGTTTTAGTTGAATTTGTTTTGGCTGTATATTGTTGTTTGTATCCTTACCCTGTATGCTTTCTTCTCTGGCCTCTTGTGCTTCTTCTTCTTCTCTTTCTCTTTCTCTTTCTTTTTCAATCATTTCTTTTATTTTATGTTTGTGTTTCTCTTCTTCTTTTTTTGCACGTTGATGCTGCTTTCTGGCGTTGTTTAACTCTGCTTCTTCTTTTTTGAGTTTGGCTTCTCCCCGGCGTATGTTGGCCTCTGCGTGGTGTTGCTGCTGAACAGCTTCAGCTTCTTCTTCTTGTAATTTGTTCATTTCTTTTTCTGCTGTCTCAGCGATTTGTTTTTTTGCTGCTGCGTGGCGCAGCCGCTCTTCATCTATTTTCTTTTCTGCCGCTTCTGCTGCAGCCTCAGTCTGCTGCAGCTGCGTGCTGAAACCTTCAAGTTGCTGAGACAAATTCTCTGCATGCAGCTGCTCGTTAGCTGCATATGCCTCTGTTTTCTCTTGCAACACGTCGTGGCCCAGCTGCGCATTTCTCTTGACTTGGCGTTTAATTGCGTCGGATAGAACTCGCACAGATTCTCTAAACATAAACATAGGACGAAAGAGAAAGCGGTTCAGCTTGCAGCTCAAGAGAGAGAGAAACTCATTTTCAGTAATACTATCACTCACGCGTAGGGATCGTCTTCTTCAACCACAACAGGGTCAGGAGAAACATCCCCTTGCAATTGAATTTGGTGCTTTCTTCCCGCATTCGCATGCCGTAGAGCTACGCAAGTGTGCAAATTCAGAATGGAGGCGGAAAGCACAAAGAAATAAGAGGAAGCCGTGAGAAATGGCTTCATATTTCAAAATAAATTGTTCATATTCTTCTCTGTAGGCCTTTAATGGCCGTTTTAATCGCAAAAATCAAAGAAATTACATCTTCTTGAACCGTTCCGTCTGACCCTTCATGGAGCTGCAGATACACCTGAAATGTGCAGACTTGTCGTGCAGCGTTTCAGAGCGGAAAGCTGTGGTTTTCTGCATGCGTGAGCTTTCTAACAAGTACCGATGAGTTTTAATTTCATTTATTCCAAAAAAAATCAAAAAATTTCGCCAAAGTTTCCGCGATCTCATCCGCAGTGCCGCGGCGGCCGCAGCCGAAACAGAAGCTGATGCTGAGCTGACCAGTTACGTAGATTTCTTGTATTTCATGAAAATATATAGTATTATACGAGTTTTTGTGTGTCTATGTGTGCCTGTATTTATATTTATATATAGTATTTATATGATACGGATCGAAGTACTCTTCTTGTATAAATTCAAGTTTTGTTTAAGTTAACGTGTTGCTTATATTGATACATCTGAAACCCAGGAAAGCTGAAACTCAGAAAGAGTTCAACCAGCAGGGGCGCAGCTACTGCATGTTCCAGCTCATCAGAGTTTTGTATTTGTGTAAGAAACGAAAAACTTTCTTAATGAATTTGCATTTGTGTATTTTTTTTGTTCTTACATGGCTCTGGCTCTGCGTCCCTAGGAGGCTCAGAAGGGCCCTTTGAGCCTCTCTTTCCCCTCGCTTTCTGCGGCTTTCGTTGCGAGAAAGTGAATTCAGAGTTTGCTGAAACTTGAATCGCTGCTCCCTGCTCCAAGCTGCACGGAGGAGAAGCGCCGGGTGTAGCGGTGTTGGTATTTGTGTATTTGTTTGGGGTTAGCGTGTTTGTATGGCTGCGTGTAGCGTTTCATAAGCAGTTCTTTTTATTGATTTCATTGATTTATCTATATTCAGAAGAAGCAAAGAAGGCAGCAGCAACAGACGGACGCAGCTGCAGCATGCGGAGAGAGAGTGCCGTCAGGACGTGGGTTCTCTGGCTCTTCTCCTGAGAATGTGTACTCAGAGGTATATAAAATAATTTATTTTTTCAATTTTATGTAAATATATCATTTGATTATATTAATTATACATTTATATTAACACTCCTCGCTCTCTGCTATAGGCACTGCCGTTGGGCAGAGCGACCGGCGCCGCGCCTCTTCTTCATGCTGTAAACTTGTTTTTTTCTGCATCAAAATTTATTCCTTTTTGTTTTATATTCAATTCAATTCATCTCAACTCCTCTCTTCGTCTGCAGTTAGCCAACACCCCCCTTCACCGCATAAACTCACAGCAGCGCAGCCTACCAGCAGGGGCCCTCGGGCCATCTCCGGGGGGTTTAGGGTTTAGGGTTTAGGGTTTAGCTTTCTGTAGAGCTCCATAAACTCCTCCAGAGCAGCAGATCCATAGGAAGTCTTCCCTTAACCTGCAGAAGAGCTCTTTGCCTTGGGGTTTAGGGTTTAGGGTTTAGGGTCTAGGGTCTAGGGTTTAGGTTTGCGGGGCTGAGCTCTGTCTGTTTCTCCCCCCCTGAGTTGGAGTCTGCTGCTGTTCTTCTCATGTGCTAAGAGGGGGCCCCCTGTAACCAATGAGCTCGCGCTGCCCTTCTGAGGGGCCCCCCAACGAGGGGGGCCCCCGAATCCCTGCTTCTGGCGCTCCAGCAGCAGCAACAGCACCGGCAGCAGCAGCAGCAACAACCCCACCAGCAACACCAGTAGCAGCAGCAGCAGCAGCAGCAGCCAGCCGATTGAGCTGTTTGGGGCGGAGTTCAAGCGATGCGCCGTCAAGTGTAGGTGGGGCCCCTCAGGGGGCCCCCAATGCCAACTACAGGTCGCAGGGTACCGAAACAGGGGGGCCCCCAATGGGGCCCCCCTCTGCTAGCCGTTCTCAGGGTGGAGAGTTTGAGTTGCCTTTGCTGCTGCTGCAGTCTTCTACGGATGGTAGGGCCCCCAGAGGGGGGGGCCCCCAAGGGGCCCCCAATACAGATGAAGACTGGCAAGCAGAGGTTTCAGCTTCTGTTGCTGCTGCATTTCGGGATCTAAGAGGCAGCATGTTTCTCGGCAGCAGCAGCAACAACAGCAGCAGGTCCTCAAGACTAGGGTTGGGGGATGCACTGTTTCTAGGTGGGGGCCCCCCCCGTTCCCGCAGGACATCCCGGGGGGCAGCAGAGGGGCCCCTAGGGGGGGGGGCCCCCAGGGGGGCCCCCAGAGGGGCCCCTGAAAGCCTCTCCCCCTCTGCAGCCTCACACTCAACTGAAGACTCATCCTGCCTCACACCCTCAGAAAATACAAGCAGCCGGCAGCAGACGCCGCGGGGGCCCCTGGGTGTTCAAGAGAGGGTACTGCCGCCAGATACACCGACCTCTGAAGAGGGGGGGCCCCCCGGGGGCCCCCATCTTTGTGGGGGGCCCCTCACTGGTGTAGAGAATGACAGGGGGGGGGGCCCTGGGTACAGAGAGAGCCGCGGGCTGCAGCCTGAGGCAGCAGAGAAGGACAGGGAAGGGGGCCCCTCTCCGCATGCGGGGGCCCCTGAAACTGCTGCTGATATACAGACGGAGTTTCTTGCTGCTTATACAATACCACAGCAGCAAGTTGCTGCTGCTGCAGAAACGGTAGAAGCGACAGATACTGCAGCAGCAACAGCAGACACTCCAGTAGCAGCAGCAGCAGCAGCAGCAGCAGCAGCAGCACCGGAAGCGGAAGGCGCAGCAGCAGGCCCACAGATTGGGGGCACCACAGCAGCAGCAGCTGCAGCAGCATCAGCAGCAGCAGCAGCAGCAGCAGCAACAGCAACAGATATTCCTTCTTCGTGCTGCACTCCTCACTCTGAACCTGCTGCTAAAGAGGGGCCCCCACAAGACCTTCAGGGGCCCCCCACGCCAGCATCAAGGGGGCCCCTCGGCATGCGGAGGTCTCCTGCACCGAGTCCGCCGCCAAACCCTAAACCCTAAACCCTAAACCCTAAAAGGCACACGTTAGAGGATGCGGGTTACAGAGACAAACCACTGAACAGCATGGAGCCACACAAACAGGCAGAGAAATGCACCTGCTGTTGCTGCTGCTGCTGCTGATCGTGCTGCTGCTGCTGCTGCTCTGTTTCAGTTGCTGCTGTTGTTTCTGCTGCTGCTGCTGCTGCTGCTGCTCGTGTAGAGACAGCAGAAAATACACAGATAGACGGCATTCAAGAGACCTTCCCAGCGCTTAGATGCAAAACTAATCACCTTAGGGTTTAGGGTTTAGGGTTTAGGGTTTAGGGTTTAGGGTCTGGTGTGTGCTGCTGTTGCTGCAGAGTGGGGCCGGGGCATCTTCAGGAGGTCTGCTGCTTCCTCTGGGCGGCAGACAGCGGACCGCACCTCCACACCCACAAGCTCGTATGCCTGCTGCTGCTGCTGCTGCTGCTGCTGCTGCTGCTG